AGGCTTTGTTGCACCTCTCTAGCCTAAAATTGAACCTCAACCTTTTTTTTCCACAATTTCCAAACTGCAACTTGAATTTGTGAGCTCTTTTCACCTCTTTGAGCTAGTTTTTTTCATCAATACTTGTGATTGTAACTCCTATTTATTTAAGCACCTATCAAAACACACAAAATTCAAATGTTTAATGCAAAATAAATTAAAACTGAAATAAAACCAATAATCAAACTAAAAACTAAAATATTACTAATAAACTCAAATAAAAACTAACATGCAATTAATTATAACTAAAACTAATGAAAACAACACTCGAAACGAAAATAAAAAGAGTTAAAAGGTAAAGAATTTGGGGTGCCTCCCACGAAGCGCTTACTTTAACGTCCTAGCTAGACTCGTCCGAGGCTTAATCAATTGGAATCATTGAGAAGAACTTTCTCCACTTTTTGCTCCTCTCCACCATAGTAATGCTTGAGCCGTTGTCTGTTGACGCGAAATGCTTCTCCGTCTTTTCTAATGATTTCAACGATGCCATACAGATAGACTTTCTTGACTTGGAATGGTCCAGACCACCTTGACTTCAATTTTCCGGGGAATAACCGCAACTAAGAGTTGAAGAGCAATACTTGTTGTCCCAGAAGAAATTCTCTCCTTAGAATATGCTTGCCATGCCACTTTTTTGTTTGTTCCTTATAGATCCGGGAACTCTCATATGCTTTATTCTGGAACTCTTCCAACTCATTAAGTTGAAGCAAACGTTGATCACCGGCGGCTTTCAAATCAAAATTTAATTTCTTGATGGCCCAAAATGCTCGGTGCTCTAACTCAACCGGCAAATGACAAGCTTTTCCAAACACCAATCGATAGGGAGACATGCCAATTGGTGTCTTACAAGCCGTTTTATAAGTCCATAAGGCATTGTCAAGCTTTGTAGCCCAATCCTTGAGGTTGGTTTGCACTGTCTTCTTCGTAATTTGTTTAATCTCCCAGTTAGAAATTTCCGGTTGTCCATTTGTTTGGGGATGGTAAGCAAGGGCAATATTGTGCTTCACTCCATACTTGGCCAAAAGAGCATTGAAGACTTTGTTGTAAAAATGGGTTCCCTCATCACTAATTATGGCTTGAGGGGTATCGAACCTTGTGAAGATGTTCTTGTGCAAGAATTTCAAGACCACTAGGGCATAATTTGTTAGAGCAGCAATTGTTTCCACCCATTTGGACGCATAATTGACCGCCAACAAGATGTACTCTTGACCAAAATAAGGAAATGGTCCCATAAAGTCAAAGACAATATTAGTCAAAGGCAACTCATGACGCCTAGAAATGTTTCCCACACGTTAGTATCGGTCACAAGTCTTGACAAAAGCATAACAATCCTGGAAAAGAGTTAGCCAATAAAAACTATATTGAAGTATCTTAGCAGCGGTTCGAGTTGCACTAAAATGCCCTCCATAAGGTGTGGAATGACAAGAATGGAGAATATCATGAATTTCTTCTTCGGGAACACACCTCTGAATGGCTTGGTCATTGCACCTTTTAAACAAAAGCGGATCATCCCATAAGTAGCCCTTTACATCATGGAGGAATTTCTTCTTTTCATGATAAGTGAGGTCCGGTGGCAACACATTGCAAGCTAGATAATTGACAAAGTCATCGTACTGAGGGAGCTTCAACTTAATTTCAAAAGTTGCTCATCCGGGAACTCCTCTTGTTTGTTAGCACTCTCCACTTTAAATTGCTCGAGTCTTGAGAGATGGTCAGCCACTACATTCTCACTCCCTTTTTTATCATGGGTTTCCAAGTCAAACTCTTGAAGTAACAGTATCCACCGAATTAAATGAGGCTTGGCATCCTTTTTGGCAAACAAATGTGGAATTGTCGCATGGTCCATGTAATCAATCACTTTAGAACCAATAACCTTAACATCCCTTTCTCGGTAGTGATGTAGTTTAGTTGAGCATTGGTGAGGATCCAACTTGAGTAGTAGATAGCCTTGAAGATCTTGGCTCTCCTTTGGCCAAGTATCGCTCCAATGGCATAATTACTTGCTTCACACATGATTTCAATCGGCTCATTCCAGTCATGCACAATCACAATGGGAGCCGAAATCAACCTGTCCTTAATCACTTCAAAGGCCTTCACACAAGCTTCATCAAAGACAAACGGAGCATCCTTTTAAAGGAGATTACACAACGGCTTAACAATCTTTGAGAAATCATTGATGAACCCAACATGCCCCAGGAAACTCCTTATCCCACATTAATTGGTGGTGGAATTTTCCCAATTGTTGCTATTTTAGCTTGATCAACCTCAATTCCCTTGGAGGACACCCGATGACCTAGAACAATCCTTTCCTTAACCATGAAATGACATTTTTCCTAATTAAGCACCAAATTCTTCTCCTCACATCGTTGCAAAACAAGAGATAAATTATGGAGGCAATGATTAAATGATGTCTCAAACACTTAAAAATCATCCATAAACACCTCTATAATCTCCTCTACCATGTCAGAGAAGATTGCCATCATACATCTTTGGAAAGTCGCGGGTGCATTGCATAAACTAAAAGACAGTCTTTAGAAAGTAAACGTACCATATGGACAAGTGAAAGTGGTCTTTTCTTGATCCTCGGGAGCAATTGCAATTTGGTTGTACCCCGAATACCCATCAAGGAAGCAATAGTACTCAAAACTTGCCAAACGATCCAACATATGATCAATGAACATGAGAGGGAAGTGATTTTTTCTTGTAGCCTCGTTCAACTTCCCATAATCAATACACACTCTCCAACCTGTGACCATTCTAGTAAGGATGCACTCGTTCTTCTCATTCTTGATTACCATCATGCCTTCCTTCTTTGGCACCACTTGAACCGGACTAACCCATGAGCTATCCGAAATGTCATAGCCGATTCCCGCATTTAGTAGCTTCAACATTTCATTCCTCACCACTTCCTTCATTGTCGTATTCAACCTCCTTTGATGCTCTATGGATGACTTGTAAGAATCCTCCATTAAAATCTTGTGCATGCAAAAAGTCGAGCTTATGCTTTTGATATCGGATATAGACCAACCCAAATCGGACTTATGATTCTTTAAGACTTCAAGCAACTTTTCTTCCTCTTGTGAACTTAAGGATACCGAAATGATAACCGGATAAGTAGAATCCGCTCCCAAGAAAGCATAACGAAGATGATTGGGCAATTGCTTCAAAACTAACCCCTCATGAGGTGAGCTAGATGAACCTGGTTACCCATTTGACTTCTCAATACTAGGCATTTGATCAAGTTCCTCCAAATGAACCTTAAAATTCTCATAACTAGGTAAAGCCATAAGAGCTAAGCACAATCCGCAATGCCATCATCCTTGGCAGATAACGCTTCACCAAAATTTGACTTAGACATAGAAGTGACTAGACAATGCTCCAAAGGATCACAATGCCAAACATCTCTAATTACCTCTTGGATGCAAGAATCAATTACCTCAATCCGATTGTAAGTGGGCCTCTCATCTGGAAACTTCATGGTGTCGAAGATATTAAACTTGACCTCCTCTTTATTAACCCGAAGAGTCAAATTGTTGCTGGGAACATCAATCAAAGCTTTTTCGGTAGCAAGAAATGGCCTCCTAAGGATGATGAGAATCTCCCGGTCTTCTTCCATATCGAGAACCACAAAGTCCAGCGGGAAGATGAACTTATCCACCTTGACCAAAACATCCTCAATAACACCACGAGGATAGGTAAGAGAACAATCTGCCATTTGCAAAGAAATAGTAGTGGGCATTACCTCACCAAGACCCAACTTTTGGAACACCGATAAAGGCATGAGATTAGTGAGGTCACACAAAGCCTTCTCGAATGTCGAATTGCCAATGCTGCATGGAATAGTAAAACTCCTGGGATCTTTCAACTTTTGTGTACGTTTCCTTTAGAGAATAACACTGCATTCTTTTGTTAATTTCACAATCTTGTAATTCTCCAACTTCCGCTTCTTAGACATCACTTCTTTCATGAACTTCACATAGTTTGACATTTGTTCCAAGGCATCCGCAAACGGGATGTTAATATGTAACTTTTTGAAAATTTCAAGAAACTTGGAAAATTAAGCATCAAGTTTCTTCTTTTGAAACCGTTGAGGAAACGGTAAAGGTGGAGCAACAATGGGAGGATTATCCAGAGATGAAATAGAACTGGAATTTGAGGCTACCTTTGGTGACTCCTTTACAACTTCATCCTCTTTCTCCTTAGCCTTAGCTTTGCGGGGTTTGGGGTCCTCAAGTACTTTCCCACTCTGTAATGGCCTTGCAATGGTCCTTTGGGTTCTTCTTTGTGTTACTTGGGAATTGACCCAGTTGATGGCCTTTTAAGGAATTAGCCAATTGACTTATTTGCATATCAAGATTCTTCATGGTGGCTTCCATGCTATTACAATGGCCCTCTAGCAAGTGAGCCTTGAATCACCTTGTTTGAAGTTTAATGTGGTCTCTAACATAAAAGTGGCCAAAATATCTTCCAAAGGTTATTTCTTCTCCGTCACACTAGGTCCTACATTTTGATTATACCCCGGAGGCGGATGTAGAACATTTCTTTGGTTGGCATAAGGGAAGTTCTCATGATTTTGGAGCCCCGAATGGTAGTGAGTTGGCAAATTATTGGCGGGCCAAAAATTGTAGCTCTGGTTGTTTATGTATTGGCATTGCTCTTGGTTAATCCTCTCTTCAACATAAGAAGTGTTCACTACATAAGTCAAATCCTTGCTTGTAGAAGCCTCTCGAGTGGTTCACGCCGAAACTTAATTAGCCAATGTCGATACTTGAGCGGATAATGCAATTATTTGGATCCACTTCATGAACTCCCGCCACTTTCTTCAAAATTGACCTTTTATTAGGCCATTGGGAATTGTTTGTAGACATTTCCTCCAAAAGTAATTGGGCTTCCTCAGTGGTTTTCAACAAAAGAGTAAAAGAGTACCACTGGCCGCCACATCAAGAACTGTCTTTTCTTGATAGTCATGTTGAGGACACCTCCGAATGAGGTCATTGAATCGCTCCCATGCCTCGTAAAGAGGCTCAAAATCTAACTGTATGAATTGAACGATCTCGCTCCTCAACTGTGTTGTCTTCGAGGGAGAAAAGAACTTGTTAAGAAATTTCTGAACAAACTCATCCCAAGTAGCGAAACTTCCTGGAGCTAATCCTTATAACCAACCTCGCGCCTTGTCCCTAAAAGAAAACGGAACAAGCGCAACCGAATCACATTATCACCAACACCGTTCATCTTGATTAAGGTCCTCATGTGGCAATCCCCCATATTGATTTTGTTGAACCATACTAATTAAGGCAGGCTTCAACTCGAAGTTATTAGCGTTGATCGCTTGGCACCGGATCCCCGAGTAATTGTCATTCAACACCGGCCGGAAATAATCCATCAAAGTCCGTTGTTGATTGTCAACCGTTAGATCAAGTAAAAATCACATCAAATTGACAAAGCAAGCAGAACACACAGATTCTGATACACATATGATGGCTAAAAACTAAGAGACTATCTGTAGTCCATTTTTACAGGGATTACAAGAGAAAAGTCCCTATATCTTTTTCTTTCATTTCTATCTATTTCTATGGAGCCTTGCAATTTAGTTATTTTGTATTTGTTCATAACAATAAACAAATTCAAATAAAAGGCTTTTTCATACAAATACTCCCTCAATTTTTTGAATTTGACAATTTGGCCTATATTTTTTTTATGGCAATTGACCATTTTAACTTAAAAATCTTTCTAATTAAGGTCCAGTCTATTTTTCTTTTATTTTTTACGAGTCTGATTATGTGATGTGCCCGTAAGAGTCTATTAAGGTCAATGAAAGTCATTTCTTATTGTTGGAACGTCTGTTGAGGGCAATAATCTTTAGAAACTAAGAGTTGTTTATCATTACTGATTATGTTCGAACACATTAAGGCCGCATTCGTTTTGCAGATTCGAGTTTTCAATTCGAACTGATATGTGATATTTTCTAAGAGTTTTTAACTGTAACAGAAAAAGTTAGATGTGATATTTTCTTAGAGCTTTTAACTATAATAACTTAGAACTGAAAACTCAAATTAGTAAAATGAACGATGCCTAAATGACTATGATACCATCATATCGAATAAATAGGGTGAGAAATGACCTTAAAACTGACTTTAATGTCGTCAACATATGCTCACATGATTGTCAAATGATTAGAATTGTCAAAAAGAAAAAACACTGTTTTCTATTGTACCTTAATTGTAAAGCTTTAAAGTTGATGGGGTTAATTTCAAGACAAAAGGAATAAGGAATAAATTGTTAAATTTAAAAAGTTGAGAGAGAATTCGTATAAAATAACAAAAAAAAAAAAAGAAAGGGGAAAACACCAATAGTTAGGAAAATGCTGATTAGCCAAACAAGAATTTTTCCCATTAGGCACAAAGTGTGGGTCCCACCAGATAGGACTTACATGGACCTCGTTAGTTAGGTGGGACCCGTATTCTGAATTTGAAAGAAAAAATTCCTATTTAAACAAATAATATTGTTTCATTAGCTGAAAAAAATACTTAAAAACACACTAATATTAAGCATCATCACTAATAAAATATAAATTTCATTTGTGAATTTTACATTGTAAGACACATATTTTATTAATAGATTGTACTAAACACTAGTGTTTTATAGCATTGTTCGGCTAGCTAGGTAAGGAGGCAAAAGGATATAACAAGTGGACAAGCGAGAGCACGATGACGTGGACAAAACGTAGCCTTGTCATCCTCCTCTTTTCCTCTCTCTCTCTTTCCCGGCAACTCCATCTGTAATATCGTCTTCTCCCCGTTTGGTGGAGAACAACAAAAAGTGAACAATACACTCTTCACTCACACTTTAAAAAAAATTAAACAAAGTCAAACTTTGCTCAGAACAACCAACAATGTCGAAGCTTCTTCTCCTCCAATCATCCCATCTCACCGCCCCAATCCACCGCCGGACCTTCGCCGCCATCCTCTCCGCTTCCAACCCTCTCCACATTCCCTCCCCATTCTCTCGCTTCCATTTCCGACCCCAATTCTCGCTTTCTCTCCGTCCCGATTTCACTAACGATTCTCTTCGCGAACCTTCTAGAAAGTTTTTGGTTCGCGCCTTCGATTCGTCGTCGTCGGAGGGGGAGACGAAGAAGACCGGAGATGGACCGGAGAAGAAGGAAGAGAAGGACGGTAAGGACGAATCTGGCTCCGACGTTAGGGTTGGTAGTCAGAGAGTGAGAAAATCCGACGAGGAGTATCCGAGCGGCGAGTTCCGGTTCGTGAAGCCCGGCGCATGGAAGAGCTTCGTCGTGAAGCTTCGAATGCTGGTCGCTTTCCCTTGGGAGCGAGTTCGTAAGGGTAGTGTTCTCACCATGAAATTGCGTGGCCAGGTTTCCCTCTCTGAAATTTTGTGCTCATTAAATTTCTATTAGTTAGAGGAATTGCATTAGTGAAAATGTTATGTGTGCATCTCCAATGGAATTATAGGTTAATTGCAAATTTAATATTTAAGTGTAAAACAACACTCTCTAATGCAATGTAATGTTATTTGTTGTGTTAAATTTTTCATACGTAGTCATAAATTTCTCACCAAATATAGCGTATAAAAAATTTAACATTTAGTTGAAATGTTTATTTTTTTCCTGTAATCATTGAAACTTTTATATTTTTAAATTATTTTAAAAATAAAAGTTTTAATTTTACAACTTTCAAGCTCAATAATTATAGTAAAAAATAGATTTAGCATTTTATATAGCATTATTCATTGTAGTAAAAATAAAAATAACATACCATATCATATTTTTTTTATGCTATATATACAATTAGCATTAGTATTTGTCTTAGCATATATGAAATTTTTGGTCAAAACAGAATTTTGACCATAGTTTTGATATTTGCTTTGAGATAGAACTTTTTCGAACTCTAATGTCTTTCATCATTACATTATCTGTTAGAATTTGGCTTCATTTTGATATTTTTTTTTTGAGTTGGAATATTTTGAGACTCAATTGTTTTGTATTATTACATTATTTGATAGTTTTTACAAATAGAGAATTTGATATACATCATTTGCTTATGCACATTTGATTAAAAGAGGAATTGAAAATTGCATTTAGAGAAAATCATATTTCACAAAGTAAGAAATTTAGGTGAAGTGAAGACAAAGTTTTGTCTATGTTTTGAATATTTGCTTTGCGACAACGACCTTTTAAACTTGAGCCTTTTTAACTTTATATATGATCTATTAGTTTTTACAGATTGTGAATTTATACGTATGTGTTGCTGTGGAGTTTGCATTCAGATATCTGATCAGCTGAAGAGCCGTTTCTCTTCTGGATTATCTCTACCTCAACTTTGTGAGAATTTTGTGAAAGCGGCATATGATCCTCGTATTTCCGGTGTCTACCTCCATATTGATTCATTGAACTGTGGGTGGGCAAAAGTCGAAGAAATTCGAAGGCATATATTGGATTTTAGGAAATCAGGTTAGTGTCATAGTGCTTGTGTTAGTACGCCTATATGTGAAGTACAAGCTGAGTAGGATAACTGACGTTCCTAGCCTTTGTGGGTAGTTTGATTAGTTTAAGCCTAAAAATTCAAGAGATTTGACTATATGGTGAAGAGATTTGACTGCATGAAAATATTCTATTTGGTTTCAGTTATTTCATTTATGAAAAGGCAGACTATTTTGGTATCTACTCGTGATAACAAATTCGTGAAGTCCTGTTGCTTCCTTGTTCTTTTGCTGATATCTTCTTTTGAGCTTCACAAGCACAAAACTTGTCAGATATTTTTAATTTTTATTTAAATATTCTCTTCATATATCATATTCTGAGTGATCTTTTTATTCATGTGTGCAAAGGTCTGTCTACTATAATCTACTGAACTTCTGATTATGTCTACTTCCAATTCTCTTATAGAGATCCGACAATGTTGTCCGAGAATTTTACCATTGGATGACTACTCCTTCCTAATTGCTCTTGTAGGTAAATTCATCGTGGCATTTGTACCTGTTTGTCGAGAGAAGGAATATTATCTTGCCTGTGCTTGTGATGAGATATATTGCCCTCCTAGTGGTTACATTTCTCTATTTGGTTTTACGGTTCAAGCATCATTTCTTCGAGGTACGGTGACAATGTTCGGTCTTGCATGATTTATATTTAAATGTAAAAATGATTGTACCCGATGATGCTTTAATATGCATTTCTTTGTTGGTAGATGGGGATATATTCCCTGAATACATCTTAAGTTGGACTGTTGTGTAGGCCCCTATACTACCACCTAAATGATACTTGCTATTTGTGAGCGGGTATGTTGGAAAAGAGGAGAGTCTCTAGGGGGGCGGATGGGAGGAAAGAGAGGATGTTTTAGATGGATGATGAGTCTATGATAAATGTTTTTCCTCTTATGCGTAGCTTAGTCACATTGTCTATTTCATGAGGATGACCCATCCTCTCTTGGTTGTATATCAGTTTTATGATTAATATGAGTTTCTTGTTTCCAAAAAAAAAAAAAAATGTTTTCCCTCTTTTATTTTATTATACGCTTCAGAGTCTGGCTATTGATACTAGATATTTGTTTCTGTTGTTATTATTCTTTTCTTTTCATTTTGGTAGACTCCTTCGAATAGCAATTTTATTTGTACTCTTGTTTCCTTCATCTTTTTTCTGGTAGAAGGACATGCAAATTCTTGCTTATGTTACAACTAAGTTTACTTTTCCCTTCTTTATTGTTCTTGAGCATGATGGCAATATTTCTAGATTTTCCAAGCATCGCGGCCGAAAACTTGAAAAGTGGTCATTTGTACGTTGTTTAAGTATACTTTTACAGGATTTTCTATCTTGAAATTCTATTTGGAACTTTCCATGCTTACGGTGCTGTCACCTTGGCAACCCTAATATGTGTGTGTGTGTGTGTGTATTATATATATATATATTTCTAAACCATGATAAAGTGCTAAAATTACCAAAAATATGAAAAGTCTAAGGATTCACTTCACCCTAAAAATACCCTAATAAGTGATTTTTAGTGATTCCTTAGACTTTTTACATTTTTGTATTTCCCATGAAGCAGAAAGTAACCCAGTTTCTGAAAAAATTGGTCCGTCTTTCCTAGGCTTTTGTTTTATCATTCTGTCGTGTATTCTACTCTGCAGTAACATGCATGGAAATCTTCTTGTTATCTGTTGTACAAACAGTTAAAAATTTAATTGGAATTTTGAGCACCAAAGAAAGAGAATAATAGAAGTGGCTAGAAAGCATGTTTAGGATTGCTGGCATTAAACTTCTTATTTACTGCAGTTATTAATTATTATCCCGTCTTCTCTCGAAATAAAATTCAACTCATAATAAGGGAAGTGCGTTTTATTGCAATATTGGAGTAGTTCTGTGCATGTACTTTTGATTTTACATACATCCTTGAGGTGCTTCAAAAAATTATATTGCCCGTCATTTACTTCACTTAAATTTGTTCAAATGTATACCCGAAGTTGTATAAAAGTCAATATAGATCAATCACCTATCGTCATACAATGGATAGTGTGGTAGAAATGTGTATCTAGCTACCTTATTTACCTTTACTCGTGCTATCCTTGTTGCTTGAAATTATTCTTTATCTGAGTTTGTTGCATTGAAAAAATTGCTTTAGGTGTTCTTGACAAAGTAGGAATTGAGCCACAAGTGGAAAGGATTGGGAAATACAAAAGTGCTGGTGATCAACTTACCCGTAAAACTATGTCTAAAGAAAATTGTGAGATGCTGAATGCGTTGCTTGATAACATATATGGGCATTGGCTGGATGAAGTCTCTTCTGCAAAAGGTGTTTTTACTTTTGATCCTCTTGGCCAATATTGGAATTTCACATAATTTATGAGCTTCTGCCAATCTTTATAGGAAAGAAAAGAGAAAAAGTCATAGACTTCATTGATGAAGGGGTCTTTCACATAGAAAGGCTGAAAAAGGATGGCTGGATAACCGACATAAAGTACGATGATGAGGTATAGAACTGCTAATATATGCTGACTGGTGGTCAAAGTATGTTAGAGACCCAGAGTATTAGCATCTGGTGCTACAGTTTAAATGTTTGAACATTTAGATGGCATTTTCTAGGTTTCAATTAACTTTCGGTCTGAAACTCTGTCACATATTACTATACAAGCTTAAGCACACACACAGAAACCATTTAGAGGTTTTCTGTTAAGTGATCTTATACTTTGGAATCAGTTGATAAGGAGTTATACAGATTTCATGTTCGTTCCCTTCAACTTGTTGACTCATACAGACTATCAAACCGTGGCAAATATTTAGTTTATAAATGTTCTGCTTAGTTTGTAGAAATACTGTATAATAAAGTTCTCACAGTCAATGTTTAGATATGCTACTTTTTGATTGCATTTGCAAATTATTGGTGTCATGTTGTCTGTATCTAAGGTCTAAATATGAAAAATTTCTTGGTAGCTTTGTAGTAATCTGCCGGCCTTGCAGGTTATCTCGATGTTGCAGGAAAGACTTGGCTTGCAGAAGGATAAGATTCTTCCTATGGTTGACTACAGGTTGTCAATTTCTTATATATGGTGCAAGAACTAACATTTTGGTGTCCACTACATGTGTCTATACATGTATTAAAGCTGTTATCATCTATAAATGAACTCAGATTATATTGCTTTCTTCATAATCTTCTGTTTGGCAATTGCATTCCTTTTACTTGTCTCGGTTTGATAGTTGTGTTTGTTATTGGTTTTTCTGGTCACCACATATCTTCGTCAATGTTTCGGATCTTTTCTTTAATGTCCAAGTAATTTTTGGTGATGCCTGATACATAAAAGTACACGGGCATCGGGTTTCCAGGGAAAGGGGAAAAAAAGCGTACCTATAGGCTTCATGGTTCTCATACTTTCCTTAAATTCCTAATGTGAAAAATCCTGTACTATTTGGCATTACTCATTCTCCTTTTATTCCAATCCCTTGGTAGATGAAGCACATTTAGCTGTATGTACTGCTTTTGGGATTCAATGCAGGAAATATTGCAATGTTAGGAAATGGACCGTTGGCTTAGTACGTGGTAAAGATCAAATAGCTGTAATCAGAGCTTCAGGGAGTATTAGTCGCACGCGTAGTCCTTTGAGCGTCTCAGGTTCAGGAATTATTGGTGAACAATTGATTGAGAAGATTCGTAGTGTTAGAGGTACTAGGTCTTAAATAAATTCATTTGATTTTGCATTTACAGATCTTGAAGAATGAAGATACATGCATTTACTACTGCATACTTTAATGATTAGTACTACTTATCGTCATCTTCGTTTGATATGTTCTCGTCATCTGGGTGTTATTCCATGTGCAGAGTCAAAAAGATATAAAGCTGCTATTATTCGAATTGACAGCCCTGGAGGTGATGCTCTTGCTTCTGATTTGTAAGTAAATATTACGTTGATACTGCGTAATAAATGAGCTGGTCAAACATGCAATCATAGATTTAGACGTTTCTTTTGTAGTAAATTTACTTGGACTGATTTGTTTTCTTTTAAAAGCTAATGTTTGTGCATTACACATTGCATCTCAGTCCAAGAAAAATCCTGTGTGCATTTTTGTATCATTCATAAACTGCCGTTGTTGAACAATTTGTTTGTGTCACAGAAAAGAACTATGATTTTCTGTTATTATGAATAGACATATTACACGGTATTATATAGCAAATTACAGAAGAAAGAATAGGAAACTAAATCATTCCTAAATCAGGAAACTAAATCATTCATAAATCAGGAAACTAAATCATTCATAAATCAGGAAACTACCTAATCCAAATCCCGTAAATCAAGGGATTTCCAATTGATTCTTCTAATCTATTTACAGCTTATTTACACTTCAACACTCCCCCTCAAGCTGAGGAATAGATGTCTTCCATTCCCAGCTTGAATACAAGATCATGGAAACTCGAACTATTCAGCCCCTTTGTTAGAACATCAGCTAATTTTCGTCCTGATGGAACATGGGACATACACACTAATCCTTCCTCCAATTTTTCTTTGATAAAATGTCGATCAATTTCAATATGCTTTGTCCTATCATGTTGTATAGGATTATGAGCAATATTGATGGCTGACTTGTTGTCACAATAGAGCTTCATAGGACCTTCCCATTTGACTCTCAGATCATCTAGAATATGCTTTAGCCAAAGTAGTTCACACAATCCTTGAGCAATGGCCCTGAATTCTGATTCTGTAGATGACCTTACCACCACGTTCTGCTTCTTGCTTCGCCATGTTACTAGATTGCTTCCAAGAAAAGTACAATACCCTGTAGTTGATCTTCTATCCACCAGGGAACCTGCATAGTCAGCGTCAGTGTAAGCTTCTAGAGTAAGGGTATTGTTCCTTTTGAACAAAATTCCTTTCCTTGGATTGCCTTTCAAGCAATGTAGTACCCTGTAAGTAGCTTGAAGATGAGGTTCTCTTGGGTCATGCATGAATTGACTGATCACGCTCACAGAGTATGCTATGTCTGGCCGAGTGTGAGCAAGGTATATGAGTCTACCAACCAACCTCTGGTACATTCTTTTATCGCCAACTGGTTCTTCTTTAGCTTCTCCCAACTTATGGTTCGGATCCATTGGAGTAGAGACTGGCTTACACCCAATCTTCCTTGTTTCTGCTAATAGATCAATCACGTACTTTTGCTGAGATATGAAGATCCCTTGTGTGGAATATGCCACCTCAATACCGAGGAAGTACTTCAGTTTCCCTGGCTCCTTTATCTTTAACTCTCTTACTAATCTTTGCTTCAGTTCATGCTTCTCTCTTTCATCATTTCCAGTCACTATGATGTCGTTCACATAGACTAGAAGAGCAGTCACTCCCCCAGCAGCCGAATGCTTAATGTAAAGATTGTGGTCACCTTGACTTTGTTCATAACCAGACTCCTTCATCACTCTTGTAAATCTCCCAAACCATGCTCTAGGAGATTGTTTTAACCCATAAAGAGCCTTTCTCAGCTTGCACACTTTGTTAATTGTGTCCCCCTCAAATCCCGGTGGAATATTCATGTAGATTTCTTCATCTAAGTCACCATGAAGAAATGCATTCTTAACATCAGACTGTAGTAGCTGCCAATTGAAATGAGCCGCCAATGATAGCAGAATTCTCACAGTATTCATTTTTGCGACTGGAGCGAAAGTCTCTTGATAATCAACTCCATAAGTTTGAGTGTATCCCTTGGCCACCAATCTTGCTTTATATCTCTCCAGGGATCCATCAGCCTTGTATTTCAGTGTGAAAATCCACTTGCAATCAACAACATTTGTCCCTCTTGGTTTATCAACAATCTCCCATGTTCTATTCTTTTCTAATGCACTCATCTCCTCTGTCATTGCCTCCCTCCATTCCCTTTTTGACAATGCCTCAGAAACAGTATTATGGATAGCAATGGTGTTTAAACTCACAGTGAACTTTTTGTGGGCTGATGACATGCACTTAAGAGAGACATAGTGAGATAGTGGATAGATTGGATGTTTAGTACACTCTCGGGGACCTTTTCTGATGGCAATAGGAAGGTTGAGGTCATCTGTTGGATCAGTGGATGTTTCAACCGGTTTTGTGTGTGAGGGTGGATTAGATCTTACCGTGATCTCATTCCCAGAGCCTGAGTTGGATTCTTGGACTTGTGCCAGTTCTGGAGCAGCCTTTCTCCTTGAATACACTTGAGAGAACCTTGAAAAATTGTGAGTGACACTGGCTGGGACAAGAGGTAGCACGGGTTCAGTGGTTGACACGGGTTCAGTGGCAGAATGGGGTGACTCGGAAGTGGTTGGCTCAGAGGACTCTGGTTCAACAACACAAGCTGGAACTTGAGGAAGATCAAGAGTGTTTAGGGGTTCAAATGACTCACAAGGACTATCTTCCATGATTGGAATCTCATCTTGAAGAGAGGACTTGGAGAAAAAAGGTTTATTTTATGTGAAAGTGACATCGGCAGAGATGTGGAATTTCCTAGATGAAGGGTTGTAACACTTGTACCCCTTTTGAGTGGATGAGTAACCAAGGAAGACACATTTGGTGGCTCGGAGATCTAGCTTGCCTCTATGTTGGCTGTGGACATGGACAAAGGCAGTGCATCCAAAGACCCTTGGTGTGAGACCATTTGAGGTTCTGAAGTGAGGATAGAAACTATTGAGGATTTCTATGGGACTCTTGTTGTCTAACACACGTGAGGGAGTCTATTAACCATGTATGTGGCTGTAAGAATTGCCTCTCCCCAATAGGACTTGGGAACATTCCCTTGAAAGAGTAAAGCTCGGGTGGTGTTTAGTAAATGCCAATTTTTCCTCTCAGCTACCCCATTTTGTTGGGGTGTGTTAACACAGGATGAATCATGAATAATGCCTTGTGATTGAAAGTAGGGTGACAAAATTTGATTGAAGTAGTCTCTAGCATTGTCTGTCCTAAAGCTTTTTATTCTAACCACAAACTGGTTTTGAACCATCGAGTGGAAATTAGGTATAACAATACTCACATCAGATTTTTGTTTTAGAAGGAAGAGCCATGTAACCTGAGTACTATCATCAATCAAAGATACAAACCAACGAGCCCCGGAAATATTAGGTATAGTAGAAGGACCCCATATGTCACTATGAATTAAATGAAAAGGATGAGAACTTCTTTTATTGCTAATAGGAAAAGATACACGAGTATGTTTTGCCAGTTTACAAACATCACAATGAAACTCAGAAATATCTAATCCTTGGAATAAACGAGGAAACATGACTTTTAAAACCCTAAAAGATGGATGACCTAGGCGTAGGTGATACAGCCAAATGGCATCCTTATTTGAGGAACTGAGAAAAGACAAAGACAAATTGCTCCTAATTTTCTGAGATGATTCAAGATGATAAAGGCCGCTCCTTTCCTTAGCAAGTCCAATCCTCCTCGAGCCTTGATCCTAAAAAACACAATAAGAAGGGAAAAAAATAGCATAGCATTTAAGATCATTGGTAAGTTTTTGAATGGACACAAGGCTGGCCGATAGTTTTGGTACGTGGAGGACATTTTTAAGGATAAGGGTAGGTGTGATATAGATATCTCCGGTCCCTGCAACAATGGCTAAAGAACCATTGGCCACTATAATTTTTTTATTACTCGGGCATGGGGTGTAGGTGTGAAAGAGTTGAGATGTGGGAGTCATATGGTTTGTGGCACCTGAGTCTATTATCCAAGAGTTAACATAAAATGTTTCTGAGGCATTCATGCAAAAAGGAATGGAATGTTTACCTGAAAGAGCTAAAGAACAGGTCCCTGAAGGCTTATCAAGTGATCCTAACGAGCTCCGCAATTTCCCAATTCTTCCTTGTTGAACCCCCCGGTTGTTGAATTTTCCTCAGTTTTGGGTTGCTCGACTATGTGTGCTTGAGGCCTCTGCTGACCCCCACGGTTGCTCTCACGGTTTCCCCACTTGTGGCTTGGTGGCTTACCATTCAGCTTCCAACACGTCTCCTTTGTGTGCCTTGATTTCTTACAATAGGTGCACCAGAGATTGTCCTTGTTCTCCTTCCAATGATTTTCTCTACCTGGGTGTTTAGGCGGATCACCCTTTCCTTTCTCCTGGTGATCTATTTTTGCTACTAAGGCTGACCGGTCCATGGTTGGTTGTTCAAGCATAATACTCCTTCGGCTTTCTTCTGCTTGGATCAGTCAGATTGTCTCTTCTAGAGACAATGTGTTCCCCTTGCCAATGATTTGAACCCTAACCTGATCGAATTCTGGATTCAATCCAGCCAAGAAATCATATATCCGATCTCTTTCAATGAAGTTCTTCAAAATGGTAGCATCCTCAGGGCACTTCATCTCTATCACTCGGTAGTGGTCCAGTTCTTGCCACAGATTTTGCAACAGGTTTGCATATTCCGTGATACATTTGTCTCCTTGTTTAGTGGCTCCAGTTCTGATCTTAATCTCGTACACTTGAGCATCATCACGAGCCTTCGAATATGTGCGGTGAACATAATCCCAAATTTGTTTTGCACTAGTCAAGAACATTCATGTGTCACTGATCGTTGGATCCATGGAGTCCCATAGCCAAGACATAATCATGGAGTCTTCCTCATCCCATGCTTCAAAGGCTGGATCCTTCGTTTCTGGCCCCTTTCCAGGCAGGTGATTAAGTCTCCCCTTGCCCTTTAGGTATGTGCGAACAATTTGGGATCATTTGAGGTGGTTCTTCCCATTAAGCCTTTTGGAGGCTCGGATGTTCTGCAATTCTCCGGTTTTCTGAACAAAATTGGATTCTTCGGGTGGGTTGCTAGAGATAGTGGTTTCTGAGGTTGACATGATGAAGAAAAAACGCAGCAATTAATGCTGCCCGAACAGGGATTATCGAAGGAAGAATAATAAGGAATGGCAGGGATGAAGGCTCGAACAGGGATTATTGACGGGAAAATAAGAAGGAATGGCAGCGATGAAGGCTGGAATACGCAGAAAAAGAACCCAGAAAAAAACAACACAGGCACGCAGCAATGAAGGCTGCTTGAGAAGAGAGAGAAATCCCAGAAAAGAAAAGCCCTAGGGCTCTGATACCATGTCACAGAAAAGAACTCTGATTTTCTGTTATTATGAATAGACATATTGCACGGTATTATATAACAAATTACAGGAGAAAGAATAGGAAACTAAATCATTCCTAAATTAGGAAACTACCTAATCCGAATCTCTTAAATCAAGGGGTTCCAACTGATTCTTCTAATCTATTTACAATTTATTTACACGTCAACAGTTTGTAGTTGTTAAGAGATAAAGAAGTACTATGATCTGGTGAGCCCTCTCAAAAAAGTTGTTTATACCTGTGAAACCACCTCTTTTATGGCATGTTTAGATGAACTATATCTGAACTTTTCCGGCTGTCTTAGCAACATAGAAGCTGTAAATATTTGTTTTTCTCATGCTTTTTCCATTTCAATGAAAGCAAATAGGGTGCTTTTTTATTTTGAATCAGAAGAAGAGAAGCAAAAATCAGGTGCTGCGTTCAACTGATTGCCCTGTTGTGTTTATGACGTGCAGAATGTGGAGGGAGATCAGACTTTTGGCTGCATCAAAACCTGTAATCGCATCCATGTCTGATTTGGCGGCAAGTGGAGGATACTACATGGCAATGGCAGCACAGACCATTGTTGCAGAAAATCTAACCTTAACTGGTTCAATTGGAGTTGTGACAGGTGAACTACAATTTTTTTCCTAACTTCCTAGCATGTAAAAAGATTTATGTCAACTGTGAGCTTGAAAAAACTTAGAAATTTGATAACAAGATTTTTCTTTGGCTTTTGAAAAGAGACCCAAAAAAATATTGAAAGGTTGTTTTTTTTTTTTTTTTAAATTTTTTTCCCTTGTTTTTATTATTTTCCACCCTTTCTGGTGGTGGGGAGGGACTTGCACAGAATGGAGAAAATTGGTATGGCTGTTGGGATAAAAATATTAGACTTGGTTTGACAAATATGGTTTACTGATTTTGAATGCTCATACCCATTCATCTGCAAGTGTAACTTTTTTCTTGTTAGGGAAATTCAACCTTGGAAACCTTTACGAGAAGATTGGGTTCAACAAGGAGATCATATCAAGGGGAAGATACGCGGAGCTTCTTGCAGCTGAAAATCGACCTTTTAGGTAAGACTCCCGTGTCACATGCCACTGTGTTCATGCGTGCTCTTTCTTTTCCTACTTTGCATTATATCATGCATCTGTTTGTTGAAGTTATGAATGAATGTATCTACTGACTGGACATTGCCAGAAGTTTCTGTTTTTGTTTTCTTTTTCCCTTTGTTTAAGCAAAGGAAAAAATGTGTGTGCAGGTGTTTTGGTCGGATGTCCTTCTATAAATTAATTTGGGTGCTGTTAACTGACAAATGGCACATATTAAAAGATTCAAATAAATGTGTCAAACTGTGAAGGTGCATCATTTTTCAATCAATTTTCTAGTTTTCTGTTTAACCGTATTTGAAATAATATAATTCTCATTGTTTCTATGATCTCTCTTTATTCTGATTTTTTCACATATAATAATCAATCGTGAGGTCCTTAAAATTTCCAATAAGAATGTTGTCTAATAACACAACATTTGAAAGCAGAGGTGTTACAGAAGTTTGCACATGCGAGATTATAGAGCTCAAACTAGTAAATAAGAGATATTTTATGGAATTCTAGTTCGAAGATTAAAAGAAATCATTCTACATTGAGTAACGTGACTGGTTACTTTGTGTTTGAGTATACAATGATGTAGATGAGGCTTCTTCATGTAGGACCGGAGAGAATAAGAAAGACAGACAGAAAGTGAGACGAGGGAGGAAAAAGAGAAGATGGAGAGGGAGGAAGAAGGGAAGGCAAAGACAATAATCTGTAATATCTTTCAATTAGGCGTAAATGAACTAAATCTATGACAAATTGGTCTTCTAAAATACAAAATCGAAATTTTAAATTTCTGTCAGGAAAAAACTCGTGATTGGATAAAAAACTCAACCCTAAAGTAAGAAAGTTCCTGGGACCAAGGACAATATATCCTTTTCCTCACGCCTTTGGGTAACATACTTCTTTAAGTGCACTTCAAGATCCCTCATGACTTCTGCTTAACTTATCTGACGTGAAATCTCAATACAGTTATAACAAACCCTCACTCTGTTCTGCAGACCGGATGAAGCAGAGCTCTTTTCCAGATCTACACGGAGGGCCTATCATCAATTCCGTGACAAGGCTGCTTATTCCAGATCAATGAGTGTATACTAGCCGTTCCCTCATTTTTCATTATGCTACTACTCCTGTATAATAATGCTTTCGTTACATTATAGTAAAATCTTTAATGTCCCTATCATTGTATTTCCAGGTAGATGAAATGGAGGAGGTTGCACAAGGGAGAGTTTGGACTGGCAATGATGCAGTATCACAAGGCTTAGTCGATGCCATTGGTGGGTTTTCTCGGGCTGTTGCAATTGCAAAACAGAAGGCCAATATACCTCAAGACAAACAGGTTTGGTGATGAATAACTTTCATCCATGGACTATTCTTTCTATTCTTACCATGTACGGAGTGTTGATTGCTAGATATTACTTATTTTTGCGTTACATAATTTTGCTTGTTCTTGTCCTTTTCCCATTTTCTGCTCCAATGCCGGTTCTTGCATGGTGCCAGGTTACACTTGTGGAGCTCTCAAGACCTTCCCCAACGTTGCCGGAGATTTTAAGTGGCATAGGAAGTACTCTAGTAGGAGTTGACACAACGGTGAAAGAGCTGTTACAGGACTTGACGTTTTGTGACGGAGTTCAAGCCCGAATGGACGGAATTATGTTTCAGAGACTGGAAGGGACTTCTAATGGTAACCCTATCTTCGCTTTGCTTAAGGATTATCTCAGTTCATTATGAGGCTATAACCTCTATATTAGCCCTCCGTTTTGTTGTTCTTTTACAAGCCCTCGCGTGTCCCTATCTGCAATCATATTTACATGTTCTCTGAATTTGGTAAAAGAGAAGGTAGGTTGCTCGATTGTTCGAGTGTAGCATCTACCACTCAAGACAAAGGTGGACATTTTTTATTTTTTATTTCCAAACTATTTTTGTGACGGATATGCTTTTGTACATGCATGTACTCTCTCCAGCAATCACGATGGTATACATCAAGGTTATTTATGAAAAAGAAAAAGAGAAAATAACTTGGATTTGATAAATAATGGTGAGACTTCTGTTGGTTTTGAATGGAGAAATATTGATGACTAATAAATATTCCGTAATGTAATGTTCTATCTCCGACTAGAGAATTACACTGACACCTTCTGTATTTTGTCAAAATAACGGTGACACCTCTTTGATCGAAATTAATCAGACATCTCCTCCATCCGTTAACCATTAGTTGACTCTTTATTTTTTTGGAAATGTCAAAATTGGCCCCATATGCACCAGAAAACGTTTTTAAAGCAATATATAATGTTGACAGTGTCGATTTTACCCTTATTTAGCACAAAAATGTTAGTTTATCCTTATTTAACACTAAAAAATGATTGTAATTGATTCACACTAAAACATTACATTTTCACTCTAATGAAGTTTTTTTTTTTTTTCTTTTTCTTTTTGTTTTTACTAAACTAAATACTTAAGTGATATATTAGTCCGTAAAAATAAAAAATACTCGACCAAATAAAAAGAGACCAATTCAAAATTTGTCGCTAAGATGTGATAATACTTTATTTTGGTGAGCAACATGCAAATCACAAAATCAGTGGCCAAGAGAACCAATGCAGAATTAGTAGCCATATTCAGCAGTCCACGCTTTTTCCCCATTCTCTTAACAGATTATCCCAAAACCGATGCAATTATAGCAATTTTCAATCAAGAAAAATGAAGGGAAGTCCTAGGTCTGCATTTAAGATTTATGGAAGTAAATGGCCAATTTACCAATGTATAAAAAATTAGGCAATCTCTACGGTAGAATCCTCAAATAAACTCATCGGTAGAACTTCCAGTTTTAACTGTTAGATTAACTTTTTAATGGTAAGATCTGTGCATGTCCGTATTAAAAATTTACAATGTGCCACACTGAACTACTCCTATTGCAGATCAGACCGTGAAAAAATTAATTTAACAGTTAAAAATGGGGGTTCCATTGATGGAGGCTTTTTTGGGGTCTCACGGTAAAAAATGCCTAAAAATTAATAGACCATTTTGTGTTTTTAATTTTTAATTTTCCATTTTCTTGCTATTTTTTCCCTTTCATTTGGTAAATCCAGGATTTACCAAGTTAGAATCACTTGAAAAAGAACATTATAAATTCTAATGGTAAATCCTGAATATACTGAGTAAATCTAAGATTTACCAAGTTAACATTAGTTTTTCAGGAAGAGTACAAACTCTAATAGTAAATTTTGGATATATATGACAAATCCAGGTTAATCCAAGATTTACTAAGCTAGAATCACTTGAAAAAGAATAGTACAAATTCTAATGGTAAATCCTGGATATACTTGGTAAATCTAGACTGTACCAAGTTAGCATTACTTTTTTCTAGACTGTACAAACTCTAATAGTAAATCCTGGATATACGCGGTAAGCCTAGGATTTACCAAGTTAGAATCACTTAAAAAAGAATGGTAAATCCTGGATATACTCGGTAAATTCAGGATTTACCAAGTTAGTATCACTTTTTCAAGAACCATACAAACTCTAATGGTAATTCTTAAATTCTGTGTATATTCAGGATTTACCAAGTTAGCTTCATTTTTTCAACAACCGTACAAACTCTATCAGTAAACTCAAGTGAAGTGTAAGGAAAAATAACATGTACCGGGTTCTACAAGTGGAAAACAGAATCTGATCAATTGAAGGTGAGAAACCTATAGCACAAAGATAGCAGAAAAAAAGCCTTGGACAAAACACATAATCAAACAATAAACAAACAAGATAAACTACAAACTGATTAGGAAAGAATCATCATCGTTACTGATATAGGAGGCTCTAGCTACCATTGTCGTTTATTAATTTAGCTATGTTTCGTTAATTGTTTATCGTTATTTTGTTAGTTTGTTGTTTGTCTTAGTGGATATTTTGTCATCGTTTTGTAAGTGGACTATAAAAATAGTCCACATAAGCTATTGTAATAGGGAGACTTGAATATAAAGTTGAATTTTCTCTCCACTTTAGAATTTTTCCTCTTGTGGGATTTCTTTAGGTAGATTTGGACCTTTTTGTCCCATCCTCTGTCTGGGTTAGGCCTCTAAAATTCTTTTCTATCATTCCACTGCATATGTTACAAACGAAAATAAAAAAATCCACAAGCTCTAAACATCTAAACGCCAAGGTGAGCGAGGCTCTTTAATATCAGCAGAACAAAATGACCAAAAGTACAAGGGACAAACAAATATGCATGGTTGAAGCATGCACAACTAGACAACCAAAACCTTCAAAGGTTAAACCGAGACGAAAACCGACACACACGAAAACGCCTTGCGACTAACGAGAACCCATCCTTACCTCAATTTCGATACGACAACACTCATTCTCTACAAGTGGCAAGAGGTTTGATAGTGCATTGAACCTCCGGCTATTAATGCTCCTCTACTTCTCTCACTCACTCTTCCTTTTTTTTTTTTTGGCTAACTAAGATGTAATTACACTAATTCGCCTAACAAGAAGTTTGTTAATAATTGACTCATGATGTTTGAAACTTTATATAGACAATTATATCTCACTCTCATATTCATTTTAAATAGTTACATCAACTACAAAATATTCCAAATTTAAGCATTTTAACATCAGTGAAGAGAAATCTAAAAGTCAATCATCAATTTTAGTGTTAGATACTACAATTACCAAAACATTGAGAGAAAATACCAAATAGTATCTTTTTACACTAAATAATTAAAGTGAATAGGAGGTTTTAAAAATATTTGGAGTAAATAGCAAATTTACTAGATAAATGATTGATTTTCATATAGCAAATAAATTATTCATATAGTAAATTTGCTATTATTGCTATTTACTTGAATTTACTTATTTTAGTTCCGTAAGATGCTATTTACTATAATTTCTGTAAAAAAAAAAAAAAAAAAACCAAAATTTTAGTAATCTAGCAAGAAAGAAGGTTTAGAGACCAAATGGCACTATAATCATAATTTAAGGATTAACAATACTACTATTTATTTTTAATTTAGCAAAACACTGGACATTTACTAAGCTTTAAAAATTAATAAAAAAATATCTATAAATAAGAAGATGACAACTCAAAGTTGATTAAAAAAAAATTGAGTTTTGTCGGGGTCCGGTAGATTGGGAGGGTTGACGTGTCGGGGGTTGACACTCGTAAGCACACGGTTTCTCAGAAGTGGATCCGACGTGACCTGTAATGACCGGGAAAATTTAGGTCTAATCCGGGCAGTCTGACATTTGACCGTAATTCTTTCCGGATAGAAAGTAGTAGAATTTTTTACTTGATCAAGAAAATGTTATGTAGAAACTTTATGTACGAGATAAAATTTCTTAAAAAGTGTAAAGTTATAATACGAATATTTTTACAGAGAAAATTCATAAATATCAGTTATGAATAGTGAAATATCAGTTAAAAGTTAGAAATTTTAGCAGGTATGTTTTAGTTATGAAAAATTGAAATATTTGGTATGTGACAAAATGACCAGTTAGAAAAAGAGTAGGAATATTAGAAGCAAGGAAAATAACAATAGTTCCTAAAACATGATTTTCCCGAGTCAGTTAAAGCCGAAAACTGCTCAAAAACCAGTATCGTAAGGGTGAATGTTTTGGGCAATTCTGAATCAATTAAAATGAAAATTTCAGAAAAAGAAATTGACTAATGAGATACCCAAGAGAATTGGGTTGAATATGAGTAGTTTGACCCATGGTATTCGACAGTCCAGAAATGCAGTACATAACCTGTACCGGGTGTGAGATTATCGGTACCGAAAAGAGACTTGTTTTGAGAAACAAAAAATTTAGTCTCGACAAGAAAAATTTGGGGAACATAGAACCACTCAAATTAAGTGATAAACTTACAAAAATTAGTAAAAGTAAATTATGAGAATTAAAGTAATTTCTTTAATTTAGAAAGTAATAAAAAAAATAAAATATTCATTTTGTTCTTAAAAGGCCTAAGAAGGAAATTAGAGGCCAAAAGTGCTCTATTTTCCTAAGTGTGGCCGACCAAAGAGAAAAAAGAGGGAAACCAAGGAAAATCCAAGGGAATCAACCGTTTTCACTGAAATTTCTTTCGTTCAGTCCGGTAGAAACATAACCCGAGGCATTCTAGCAGGAAATCCCAACTTCTAGAGGTAAGATTTCGGATTTTTCATGAGAAATTTTATATTTTTCATTTTTGATGAATAGTAACTCATCTCGTAAAAAATCCATAAAAGTGAAAATCAAAACTGAGGTTTTGTAGAGCATCGTAATAGGAGTTTAATGGTGTAAGTATTTTAACGATTGAATGAATTTTTTTATTTGCACTAAAAAATCCGAAACCCTAGAAAAGGAAGAACATGTGTTTTTGCTCAATTTTATGTTGGAATCTGTGTTGAGGAATATGAATCTTGACTCCAGGTACCGAAATTAGAAGTTAGAACGAGCTATTGAAAGTTCGGGAAATGAGAAAAACAAGGCGAAACTTTGCCGAAATTTTCTAAAACCTAATTAGTAAGTAATGAGTTAGGAATTCGATTCTTGAGAATGAATAATAGTTTTAAGACTCATAATTGAATAGATTGAGGTTCAGAAACCGAGACACACAAATTTGTGAAATTTGCCTCTTAAGCTAGAAATTCGGCTTAGAGGAATAAAGTTCATAAATGAGTTTGAAAATGGATTTAGGCTAAGTATGAGAAATGTTAACATTGGAATAGGAAGTTGATATTGATTTCCATGAAACAGGTTTTGGCATGAAAGCTGAAGCGAAAAGGAAGAACTCTCAGCAAGTAGGAATCCTAGCGAATTATTTGTAAGTGTAGACATATATGTTTGTCTGTACTCGAGTAAACTGTAGTTGGACTTACAATTATGAATTTGCTTGAATTCCTAAGTCGATGTGATTTTAAGTGTTTGGAGGGCTTAGTGCCATAGATTGCAGAGGGGCGACCTAGGGTTACCCTAATACTCAGTATAAGGTATGTCTGGAGTATTATGCATTTTCATGTTAGCATGTGC